AATATATTTCTTTAATTTACATTTATGTGTAGGCATGTACAAGTATATGCACGATAAGGCAGTTGCCTATAGTTATAGGCGGCTGCCTATATCACAATATGTCTGCCTTTCTTAAAAAAATCTTTGCCTATATAGGCGCTTTTTTTCTCAAATTTTCTTGCCTTTAAATCCGAGCTTTAATTATTATTAATTCACTAGTATTTCATTGTGGCATTTAATATGTGTTATGTAATATAAATTATTTAATACATTGTTTAATATACGCAGTAAACATATTTCTTTAATTTACATTTATGTGTAGGCATGTACAAGTATATGCACGATAAGGCACTTGCCTATAGTTATAGGCGGCGGCCTATATCACAATATTTCTGCCTTTTTTTAAAAAAATCCTTGCCTATATAGGCGCCTTTTTCTTCAAATTTTCTTGCCTTTAAATCCGAGCTTTACTTATAATAATAATCGCTATTTTGTGCATCTTAAGTAGTTAAAGGAAACTGTTTTACTTTTAATTCATTGCTAAATACTTGCCTAAAACAATTCTGTTTATACTTGAAGCACTCTGTCTATTTATATAGTCGACCGTTTGCCAAAGTGTTTACCAAGCGTAGCTATCAAAAGTTATTCTTAAGGTTGGCTTGCTGCTTCCATTTTCAGCAAACTTGCATGTTATCCACAGGAACTGAAAAAAACTGATCTATGAATATCAAAGATAAATTCCACATTCCACTTAAACTTCCCAATGCAAACAATTCTCACATAATTAAATAAATTAATATTAATTTTTTTCTTGTAATGTGACGCTTTGCTCCTTGAGCTAACGATGAAAAGACTTTTGCGGAATATCTTGACATTTTTCCAGGGTTTCGATTTATCGAGCCAGTTTTTCACCACAAAGACAATAATTAATATAATTGGAATTATATTTTCTGTGCAAGGAGATGACCGACATTTGATAATTATTGTTGTCGGTGACGGTGGTCACAGGAATTACCGATATGGTAGCCGTTTCCGGCAGCCTTTCCCAAATAGGGATTCTATAGCCGCCCGCTTCGTTCTCCATATTGGGGGCTCTACCAGACGCATTTCTACACGCAAAAGGTTGATGTGCCATATGCGGTTTCGCTTTTTGATAAACCACTTAGGTAATTGCTGTGCAACAATAACTTTCCTATTGTGATAGTATCTTATCTGTGTTGCCATTGTTACAAGGAGCAACTAAAAAAGTTGGAGTCATTTTTCAGTTGACATAGTTTCAAGAGATCATCCTCAAACATCCATTCATTGTCATGAGGGTCACCAATGATATGAAAATTTACAAATATTGTCAATATAATCACGGTGATGTAGAAAACTGGTTACGCATGTAAAAAAGAGAGCTTTA